AGTAATTATCTGTACTTTAAGAAAAAACTATACGAAATGGATGCGAATCGATACCGCATCTCCATACAGGCTCTATGAGATTAAAATCTGGATTGTTAACTGGATGAGGCAGTAACTCCATATTGTTTACTTTCTAGTAGTCGCGAGTTACCCTCGCAACATGGGGGTGTGCATTATTTTGCATCGTCCTTTTCAGGGTCAAAATGATGCGTTAAGTCCAACCAGCAACCTCCTCACGATACATATCGGGTTGATACCCGATTACCCGATAATACTAACGCTTGCGGTATTCGTTAAAAACCTACGAATAACTTCAAAATGGCATAACTCGGCAAAAAAGTTGTAAACTTATTATTTAAAAAAAGGAAATAAAGTTTTAAAAATTATTTACCACCAGCGCATTCGCCATTTATTACAATTTTTGTTACAGTAGTATCTATTTATTATATTTCTTTTGGGTTTCATTTTCTGATGACACTCAATTGTGAGCCAATACATAGAGATTGTCTCGTACAAAAGAAATTATAGAAATATACTAGTTGATTTTATATTTTGATATTTTACCATCCCATATGTTTAAAAATTAATTTGTAGTATATTTTCATTTCCAAAAATGTTTTTCTGTGTATGCTTGTTCTTATAAAATATCAAATTATGTTGTATTTAGAATTAAAATTGTCATCACACTTGGGCTATTAGTATAACATTTTATTTTTCTTCTAATAAAATCTTTTCCGATCTCTTGCATAAAACCACTTGACCTTTAGATCGATCAAAATAATTCATTTAGAGGGAAACAATTATTACCTGGACTTTTATAAGTGGAAATGGTAAAAAGGATTATAATAAACATAAAAGAAATAAATGCGTAAGCGGGGGCGGTAGATGGTTGATTTGGGATTGAAAAGTGGTGAAGAATGATATTATTGCGATTATCAGCGAAAAAAGTATTCTATACAAAAATTGTAGATCATGCAAAAATCTACAATTTTTGTAGCGGTCACTTTTTAACCATAATCTCAAAATTTCCAAGAAAGATGCGAAAAATAGTTTTTTCTTTTGTTTCGTTTTTTATTTTTAATTTCCCCAAAAATAATTTAATTTTGACAAAACTTGGTGAAATTATACCTTTCTATATCTTAAATAACAAATTTTTTTAGATAAAAATCAAAAAGTTCAATAAAATCAAATGCAAAAAATTCAAAAAATGACGCAATAAATGCAAAAAATTTCGAAAATCATAAAAGTTGTTTAAAATAAAAAAGGAAGTTTTAGTTTATTACCTATTGATTTATTTACAGAAGCAAGATAAAACTTCACTCCAAATTTCACATAAAAATATTATTTTTTCCCAAAATTAGGGATCGTCTGATTGATTATTTGACATACCATAACTTTGGAAAAAATTAATGTTTTGACGTGAAAGGACTGAAGTCTTATCTTGCCCCTGTAAATGAATTTATAATTAAAAAACTTCCTTTTTATTTTAAACAACTTTTTTCTAAAAAACAAGAAATTTTTGAACGGGGTTTCACTTTAACTAACTTCTTTACTTGATTGTATTTTCATATTAGCAGTATGGGTGATCCTATTCGATACACAAAATTAGGTACTTAGATGTTTATAGCTGTACAAAAATAAAGTTCCGAGTTAAACAATGAAACATAGTTTCTTTTGTATTTTTTTTTCTGTACAACTGAATAGTGTACTCCGTTTTATTTTTTAATTTCTAAAAAAAATTAAACAAATTGTCAACAATTATTGAAAAATTTTTGCAAGAATAATTTTTTGTTTTTTTTTGCATTTTTGAGCATGTTTTGAACTGTGCTGATACTTCTTTTAAATAATTACCAAAAATTAAAATAATGAGCACCGGCACGGCACTACTCGGTACGATGATTTTCTTAGTAGAATTTTTGTTTAAAAAAAAAAACGTTTCGGACCGAAAAAAATGAATATGTCGGAAACTTCTTGACTGTTTTATCTAAAAAAAATTGTGGTTATTTAAGACACAAAAAAGTATACTTTCACCAAGTTTCGTCAAAATTAAATTATCTTAGCGGAAATGGAAAATAAAAAATGAAGAACAAAAGAAGAAACAATTTTTAACATTTTTCTCGGAAATTTTGAGGTTATGTTAAAAAGTGGCCTCTACAAAAGTTGATTTTTGCATGATCTACAGCTTTTGTATTGGATACTTTTTTGTTTGACGTCAACTTTCGTCCTTTTTCAACTCCCCAAATCAACCCTCCACGCATTTATTTTATGTACATTTATTGTACCATTTCCACTACTAAAATTCCAGGTAACATTTTCTTTAAGTGTAATTTGGTTGGACTACTTCACATCACGGATAAATAAAAAAAAAATACTTCCAAATATGGAACATAGAAATAAATTTGAGTTCTGAACAATTTTTTTATATCTTGTAGGAAAAATGCACTTTACTTATAGTAAAAAAATATATATATAATTTTTTCGTAACAAAGCCTACTTAATTTTTCAGAAATAAAAATACGTTACAAATAATTTTTCCAACAAACGTAATCGTTTCCCAAAAGTATAAAGTTTCCAAACATTTTTTGTCATTGAGACCAACGATTGACGATCTGGAGGCACCTTGTACATATTAAATGTTGAAAAGGAATTGAACACAGGCAGATTTCTTTCCCCGTTTTTTATAAAATAAAAAATACTTTCCCTCTTTTCAACTTCATCCGTAGACATACCGTATATTTCTCCCGTCCAGGTAAACAAAATGAAACGGGGGGATCTTTCTTTACCTGGTATTTTCCCATCAAATTTATATATAGCAAACCAAGTTGCATGATAAACAATAATTTCCTTCTACCAAGGAAGAATTTACTCAACCGACAACACTTTCACGAGAACCCCTTCATTATTTTCATATTTTTATTGAATTAAAACAAAATCAAGGAAACCGCCATTGACTGCTCGAAAAGCCTAACGAACACCCCGGCAATATCAACACATCGACATTTAGATAAATCCCGTTTAAAGGCCCCAGACTGGGGCTTTTCATTGGGGTCATTTGTTATCGAATTAAGTTTTCCCGAGGTTTCTAAAGTTCAATTTATCATGTAATAAATGTATCGGGTCTAATTTCTCGATGCTATCGCGGGCACCGGAACGATTTGTTCCACTTGATTATACTTTAATTGTGTATAATTAGGGGGTGCTGCGCTGTGGTTTTGCAGTTGTTTTATTGTCGTTGAGATGAAGATAGCAGCGGGCGCATTTTCGTGCAGTTTTCTAGGTTAATTCTTAGGGTAACCTTGAGAAATTTGTGCCATTATTTAAAATTCGACCAAATAGTACGGAGGGGGCACTATTAGGAAAATAATATTTTAAGTGTACAACAAAGTTTGCTTTAAGAATGTACAACAAAAATTATAGACTTAAATGATTTGAACATGTTTTTAAACACCGAAGTATACCTATTTATTTTCTGTGTTTATTATACATATTATCTAATGATTTATTCGTAGCATTTTCAGTTAATTTTTTATTTAACCCTCAAAGGTGACACTAGTGCGAATTGGGATTTTGACAACTTTGAACCTTTATGTCTTGTTTATTGGTTAACGAAAACAGCGTATTCAAATCAAAACTGGGGTAAAATTTTCTGAAAAATCGAATGATGTAATTAGGTTAAAAAAAATTAATTTGTTAATAGAAAATGTGACTGAAAAAAGTATCATTTTCCGAAAAATTACTTTTTCTTAATTCATATTTTTTTACAAATAATAGCAAGAGAAAAAGTAAAAAGAGGATTTTAAAGTTCAAAATCTATATTTTTAAGAACCCCATATTGATAAAATGATAGATATTATTGATTTATCCCAGTATCTTGAACATAGGCATTTTTTGAAGTTTGTGATTTTTGGCTGTTTTTCTATAAATTGATGTTTATTTTACACTTTTTTGTATAAAAATATTAATTTAAACAATATTATTCATAAATATTAACAAATACATTAAACTATTAATGAAAAAAAAATAAAAAAATTTGAAAAATTATTAACAACTACATAAACAATGTTCTAGTCTATTCGACACGTAAAATGGGTGAAAAAGATCGGAAATTTGCATTTCAATTCACTTTATTTTTAGATTATACGATACAACTGCAGCCACACTTTTGCCCACACTAAAATCACACTAGTGCGAATGTGCACCTATCGGACTTTTCAAACTCTCTAGTTTGTCGACAATAACAGACTAAGACCAGATGTGGTACGGCAGCTGCTACTTGAGAAATGCCAGCTATTCGATAAAAAACGGTATTACGAATTCGCACTAGTGTGACTTTGGGAGTTAATTGGATATTTCTGTCACACTGGAAAGAAATAACGGGTTGTTTTTCTAATTTATTTTGCGCAACAGACTATTTATTAATTTGTTTTCTTTTCAATGTGGCAGTAATATCTATTAAATAAACATTTATTTTATTACTTGCTTCCTTCTAAGAATCGTTGATACGTTGATGAAATAAACTTATATTTTTTTGGACTTTAGTAATTTTCTCCTGTTTCCTGTTTATAAAATAACATACAAACTTCTGTGAGTTAGTTCTTCACAGACAAATCATTTACTTCAGGTATGAATCAATTTCTTCATTTATATTATGTATTGATATGTATTTTTTTACTGTCTGTTATCTGTAATTTATAATTTTGTCTGAAATAGAAGGCACTGCACTACTACGATACGAATTTCACAAAACTACCTAATTTTTTAAATTGTATTGATATTGTCGATATTAGTCTGCGGTCTGCAGGCCCCATCCAGCATTCTGTGAAAGTTGAGTATCAACTGGATCAGATGATGATTATAAAAATACGAGTAATTTTGATGTATAGGTACTTTTGGTGGATATACTTTTGATGGATACACTGGCATATTTCCAACACGCCCTTGAAAGTTATTTTTTAAAGAGGTACTGTTACAAAAAACTTCAATAATACCTCTTTTTTCAGTGTATATATGGGTGCTACGTCCATTCAGCAATACTACCTACTTTCCACAGAAGGTGCTACTGGCTTCTTCAGGTAGTATGTTGTTTTTAATGTTGTTATTACTAACACCTGTTTTATCCACCCATTTTTCTAAAAAATCCGTAACTATGTATTTTTTCTTGTTCTATTTACGTACGTACTGCTTTTAGGCACTGCTTCAACCATATTTAGTACAAATACGAGTATTTCCTAGCAATGCACCTACCATATACCACAACATAGCGCTAGTTGTGAATTTATCCCCATTTTTTGCGATTCGAAAACATTGTTCATAGATAAAAGACTACTTTTATTTCTTTTGTGTTTTTAATACATTAAACCCCTTTCTCGAATCGCAAAATAGACGTCAACTCTTCACTGTGTTAAATGTTATGCATGTACCCCACTAATAAATTAATTTAGTTTTGTAGTTTAGTAGATGATTATTTGTATCATATTTTCGCGGAAAGAAAAATTACTGTAGATGTGCATGCAATTTTGTGTTAGTAAGACTATTACAAATTGAAGCATGCCACCAAATACAGTTTTCAACAAAGTTGACTCGTATACTGTCTTTTTTAATCGTATGTAAAAAAATTAAAATGATTTCTTTATCTTCATATTTGTCAAGAGCGTTGCGCTGTAAAGAAATTTTTCTATCCCTGAAACTAAAAAATTAGGTGCATTAAATTTTGTACATTTTTTCCTATTCCTTACTCCATAAAACCGTTTGTTAACATTTGCAATTTTATTTATTTTTTCTTGACAAGAATGATGTTTTAACTATTTAAATATAAGTTTATGATTACAGGTTCTTATGGGTAATAATGCACCGTGATTAACAAACCTGTTATCCTATAACACCCTTAGTACCTACCTTCAAAGCTTAATGTCCTACTAATCTGATATTTTACTCAAAAATTTTGTCACACAGTTGCATGACGTTTTTGAATTTTTAAACTGATTAAACTGATCTTAATAAATGTTAATTGTAATTCCTTTAGTGAATTGACTTTTTAGAGGGTAATGTAATTTTATGTATCTCAAAATATGATGATAATTAAAAAGTAAACGACTAGTAGGACATTAAATAAATATACGTGTTGCAATAAAACAAATAAAAAAACAAAAAATAAGACAAGCAGCTTTGCCTCATGTCATTAAGCAAATATGTAAATAATTGTCCAAAATATAATTTTCTTTAGACTCGCCAAATTTTTTTGTTTTAGGGAACAAAACGTTACTTTGCTGAGCAAAGTCGTCTATAATTTTGGAGATAAAAAACACATTTTTATGCCAAATTGGACCTTTTACTGTCTTAAATCTGTCATAGCTTGTAAAGCCAATGCCTCTATGACTAGTACCAATTTACAATACATCTTTTAGTATATAAAAAACGCGAATAGGAACTTTAGTGGCACACTTTGTATAGTTCTGACAAAAATATATCTAGAACACCAATATCAGATCTTATAGCATGCATACATCTCTGTTTGTTTTCTTTCCGTGTTGCTTAACAGTACTATTCATATTATACTAATAAGTTGTTTAATTTGAATATTTTATAACGCTAACCAGTAGATACTTCATGAATTTACTTAGAATTAGAAATATCTGCATTAAAAATTGCTAATGTAGGTATTTTTTAAAAACATATACGGCACGTTTGTGTAAACTACATACGTCATTACAGAATCCCGACATCGTCCTGGTTCACTATCTCAACGTCCCTTACCCAGATGACAACAAGCTGGCCGTCATAACCCCAAGCCTGGCCCTCTGGGCCGACAAGAAAGAATGGACGAAGGATGAATTAGTCTCCCAGCTCAAGCCCATGTTCTTCAGCGAGGACGAGCCGGACTTGAACAACGAACTGGAAATATCGGTAAAACTACAATTGTCCAACAGGTCCCTCTAAGTCCTTAGCAGAATTTTAAATTGCAGACGGCTGAGACGGTGGAGGCGATCGTCAGTCAATTAATGGAAAAACAACGCGTAGCGCGCCAAGCAGCCTTAGTAAAACAACTTGAATGCGGGTGTCCAGATTCCACGTGCGCAGACGGGAAGACTTGCTCGCATCCCATGAGGAGGATAACATCGGCGAAGGATGTGGCAAGCTCCCCCCTGCCTAGCTCTAGCTCAAATTCCCGCCCCCCTAGCAACTCTGACAACAACAATCAAGTCTCGTCCACCACAGGGTCGGGCTCTATGTTGCTCAGCAACAACAACTCTCCCAGGGTCTATTCTAGAGACTCCAGGAACCAACAGGTCGCTCAGAATAGCGGAAACTGTTCCTCCAGCTCGAGCAATACCCCTCCTTTGGTGCTGAGCTTGTCTCAGATCCAAGGCGGAGGCGGGCTTCTGATCCTCAACAGCAACTCCAGTAACAATTCTAGTCATCAGAATCTAGTGAATCCGGTGTCTGTAGCTAATTTCGTGTGCAACACCAACCGAGGGATACAGAAGGAAACTAGAACTGGTCATTTGGTGCTGAAGCAGGAGATCATGGACACCAACCCCTCATGTCTTCATTCCTCCAAGCAGAACTCCAAGTCTTGTCAGAGGGAGACGAAGATGGAAGTTAACGATAACCTAAGACAATCAATTTTTAACGACGGATCGATCTACGGAAGCACTGCACCAAGGTAATTTTCTATCCTACTAAAAAGAATGTCTTTCTGATGTCATGTTTCTCCAATTCAATTTTTGAATACAATTTTTAGTTTTAACGTATATGTCTGGGGCTGGTTTAATAATTCTTATTAAGTTTCCAGAATTAATGTTATTACGATTATTATTATTAAACTATCGAAAAGAGGAGAGGGTCTGAAAGACTTATAAAGGTCAATTACAAAATATGAAATTATTAATATAAACAGACAATGTCCAATAACTACATTAAATTATGAATACCTACTTCAGTACCATTACTAAGATTATTTACTTTACGGAACTTTTGTTACAGACTGGTACGCTTCAGCAGCATTTTTTGCATAAAAAATGAGGACCAATTATATTTTGTCTGCTTTAATTTAAGTGCATAACCATATTTTCTGTAAAATGCACTGTAAATGCAAAAAATTTCTCATCTCAAAATCTATGAAAGTACCAAGTTTTGAAAGTCGTGTAATACTTTCCACCTAGAACTACCTAAGTCCTTCAACATTAATAGAATTTCAATTGATTCCTTAATAAACATCTACCTTCAAAATTTGTTTGAAACTGCCGTGATGAATCGAACAAGCACATTGACATCAGAAGGTACAAAGTGTTGAGTTTTAATTTAACATAAATATTTAACAGGAAGAAGGGAAAAATTATTGTTTTTTCTTTGCTTTCTATGCAGATGTGTGGCTTTCTAAAATGTTTTGTCTTTACTCAATTCCAGAGCAAGATTTTTTTACAGGAACCACCACCAGCAGCAGACGGAGGTGATAATGTCAAGCGCTCCATCAACTCCATCGAAGCACATGGACACCACTCAGGAGGAAGTGGTGGACGACTTCAAGCACCAAAACTTCTGTGACGAAACGGTAGTTCTCTTAGGAACCGACTCTAGCGGTTCGTTAGTTAGCAAAAGCGACGGTTCTTCCATTATTAATGGAGGGTTCTTTAACGAAACCTTGGACCTGTCTCAGGAAGACATTCAGAGAACCCTCTCGGCCAACATGCCCTTGTGTTCAACCGAACTAGATAGTCACCAACGACACAATTCGGAACCAAACACCGTGAATCAGCAGAGCAAGGCGGAATCCGAGCAGCAGACTTTGACCACTGAGATTAATCCTATGGACTTCATCGACAGTTGCGATGTAGTCGTGTCCCCGACTCACGTCGTCGATGATGATGTGTTCGTAAATTTAGATGCGTTCGATATGCTAGGTGAATTCCCTGACCTAGATGGCTTAGACTCGGGTCATGCGGGGCTCTTAGATGTAAATCCGTCCGAAGATAGGAATAGCGCTAAGGCGCAGATCGACCAGCAGCAGAACAACCATTCTATGGAGGGATCGGCGAAAATCACCGACTACTCTCCAGAGTGGGCGTATCCAGAGGGAGGGGTCAAGGTTTTGGTTACCGGGCCGTGGCATTCCTCTGGACCTTACACAGTACTTTTTGATACATTCCCTGTTCCCACTACTTTGGTGCAAAGTGGTGTTTTACGTTGTTATTGTCCAGGTCAGTACACAGACTTATTTTCCATTTTTTCTACTCCATTTATATTTTACTAAATCTTTACTACTTAACATTTGTTTCATATCCTAGCTCACGAGGCTGGGTTAGCTACTCTGCAGGTTGCGTGCGACGGCTATGTGATTTCCAACTCTGTGATATTCGAGTACAAGTTGCCACCTAGGGAGGAGCAGGTGACCGCTCCCGAACCCAAAATTGAACGATCCAATGATAATCTGCTGAAGTTCACGCTGCTGCAAAGACTGGAGGCCATGGACGACAGGCTGCAGATCAAACAGGAACCGTCTGACGGAGACGTGGTAGAAGACACCGCCCTCTTCGGCCAACCGAATTTTGAGGACAGGCTAGTCAACTTTTGCCAGAACATGACGTCGAGGATATGGCGGCATGGGGAAGAATTAAGCGTGTCTTGGTTCGCCAGCCATAGAGGCATGACGCTCTTACACCTAGCCGCGTCCCTGGGGTATTCGAGGTTGGTCTGCGCTATGCTGCACTGGAGAGCGGAAAATTCTTCCCTGCTCTTGGAAACGGAGGTAGATGCCCTTAGTCAGGATGAAGATGGATACACACCACTGGTAAATAAATCAGAAACAATCATATATTTAAAATTTTCAATTGTTTTTTGGTATAAAATGTATAATCGTTAGGTTTTGCTAAAATTCATTGCATTCAGAGAAAAATTTTAATCCATTCCATCAGGTCCTTAAAGACAAATAACACTTCTTGATTTTTTTTAAAGCTTCCAGAAATGCAATCCAATTTTTTCATGTCGATATTTATCGAAGTCTAGTAATACAATTTGTATTACTATTCTCCGTGTAGTTTTTATGTGTAACTGTATGAAAAATTTAATCCTTCCTCAGATGTGGGCTTGCGCCAGGGGTCACACCGAAACCGCGGTGATGTTATACAAGTGGAACCACACAGCGTTAAACATGAAGAACACTTCAAACCAGACAGCTCTAGACTGCGCAAGAGCTAACAACCACATGGACTTAGTGAAGGAGTTGGAAAAGTTAGAATTGAGACGAGACAAGGCCAACATGCTTCTGCAATCAAACCAATCTTCCACAGAGGCTGCCCCTTCCCCTACAGCTATCTCTCCCGCTAGTTCAATTGCTTCTCTCGTTTCTATAGCTTCTACTAGCAAGTCTCATGATGGGGTCTTTCTGCGACCAGGTGCAGTAACTAGGTAACGTGTCAAATAACTTGTTATAGAGATATTAATAATACATTTTTGCAACTTTTTTAGAAGTGAGGCCAACAAGTACAAAATACTGAATTTAGATTTGGATTCGGATCCAAGCAACAAAATGATAACGTCTACCCCAAGTCCTCTACTGTCTGATCTCTCGTCTAGTACTAGAGGTAGCAACGGGCAAAAACTGATAAAAAGGCCGTCGATCGATAGCGGAATCCACATGAGTTGCGGATCAACCCACGAAAGTTCTAAGCCCAAGAGTTCTAAAGTCTATGGTGTCAGGGAAACTCCAAAATTGTCCAAGTAAGAGTTTAATTCGTACTATATTATATTTATCTTGTACCATACCCCAGTCCGTTTTTTCTCTTCACTCTTCCAGTTACTCTCTCTTACTTTTGTTTTTTTCGAAAACAAGTTAGTTTAGATTTTAATCGTTAAAAGCACATGTTCTAATACAAACCAATTAATGCTTTCTAAACTATTTCGACTAGTTGGAGACATGCCGTTACTGTTTCAAAAATATATCGTTTTACAATTCAATTAGCTGCAAATTTAGAAATCACCTATAATTTTTTTTTAAATGGTGCCACATTTTCAAAACCATTGTCCATATGGAAGGTGATTATTGGTGCATCCACACCAAATTACAAGTTTGCCAAGTCATGTGTCAGAACAATTATTTAGAATAAGACCTCAATTGTTTACCACTGTCACCATTGTGACAGATTTTAGTTTAGAAAATTGTAACTGGTTTTAGAGCAAATTAAAATTTAGTTGTGCAATAGTATTAGCCCAAATTTTAACTTCTTAATAGAGGAAACCCTAAACGATTGAAAAATTGATTCCAGTTTCATAGTTGTAAAATTTATGAACCAAATCTGTTAAATTACTCAAAAAAATATTTGTTTATAAAGATTATTATATTTAATATAAATACTACAGTCAGTCAGCAGTCGCCAACAAGCTTTCTATTAAAAAAAATAATGCAAATTAATTTTGAATTTGTCTTTTTTATTCTTTTTTTTCAAAATAAAAATATGAATTACATGTTCTACACAATAAACTGTAGTTGCATAAAATATATGTACACATTTAACATGCATCCTGTATAGTGTTATTCGCCCATTAAATATGTACAAAATTGTATTCTAAAAATTTTCAGATTTGACAGAAGCATGTCACTTCCGCTCCATTCGACACCAAAGGATAACTCGTTTGACGGAGACAGCATAGAGTCACACAGAAGAATGGACTTTGCTCTATGTAAGTACCATTTTACACAAATAAAAGACCTGTATCGTACTATAGACATCGCGGGGTAAGTAAAACGAATTACTGCATGCCGAATCTTGGTTTATTGACATACCAAGTTTTTAATTTCGCTTCACAGGCTGTTTTATTTAGATACTTTAAAAGTTTACAACTTAAATACTGTTCCACTAGTACATGTATTGATTGCAACAAGACAAGCATTCTGGAAATTCTTTAATTCAAATGTTTTCAAGAAAAAAAGTAAAAAATGCTCTGTATTTAAAATTGGTATCAAGAATTACTACTTCCTGTGCCTCATGATCCTGATTACAGACTTGCATCATTTAAAAACACGGCGTAATAAAACATTAAATATGTGAGTGATATAATATAGGATTATAAGACACTATAAAAAAACATAATTTATGCAGGAAGTAAAAGATGCCCTTCACATAATTGTGATTCTTTATGCCATTACGACACATTTCGATTGCATTTTTACAAAGACATTTACCAATAACTTTTAACTCAGTCCAGTAACAACATCACAGACATTAAATATAAATAAGTTGTGACATCCAGCCAGCAGTGACTGATATTGTGATTTTGAAACGATGATTTAGGCGAGATAGGCAGCGGCCCCAGAAGCAGTAGCCCGCTGATTGACGTTGAGGCCGTCTCGGATGACGAGAGCGACATCCACAACAGCACCGTAGGTCAGTGCACTAAATGGTCGTTTATCTTTGTTGTCTATCGGTGTTGTTTTACTGTTGTATAACTGAATAACTGTTCTTGTTGTCTCTTCTAATCATTTCATAGTTACTGTCTGTTTCTTGGAGGCGTAGCTGTATAATTTCGCTGCGATTACATGATTATACAATTCTACGCCAATGTAGGGACATTATATCAGTGAATCGGCGTACTTTCTTTTCCTCCATTTAATTATTTTGCCACCTGCAAAAAATCAAACTAAGCAACTTGACAAATATTGAGTATTGAGGTTAAGTTCTCTTAGAAAGTCACATTAACTACTAGTAGGTTAAATGTACCATTTATAGTTTATGCTCTGTTATGATTATGAATATTGTTGGGTATGTATTTTGTTACAAATGTAATTCGAAATTTGAATATAAAATTAAAATTGAAAATTATAGACTAAATCAAGCAACCAACCTGAATTGGTAAGTGTATTTGCAATAATTAATTAACTCCGACAATTCACCGACAAGTTTTAATGCTAGAAAAAACACAAATCATAAACTCTTAATTATTGCCTTACGAATCCTCAATTTTATTTTCCATATTTGTTTAAGTTTATTTTCCATGTATCATCCTTAGGAAAGTAAAATGATATATGTTCTCTGAAATGTATGTAATTGTTACACTGCAGCACTACACAATATCTTTTTGATTTACTACTACTCTCCATATCAAAAATAACCTGCCAGGCGTTAAAGGATATTGTTAAAAAATATGAGAGCTTCTCTGTGAAAGTGATTTTTAAAAAGTGGAAGAAAAGAAACAGATTTGATTTGAACATTGTAAGTACAAACTAAATTTTGTCCTAGTAGGGAACAATTTAAAAAAAATTGAATTAGGGGACATAAAGAATTAATTTTTTTTATATCCCTCAAAAGAATTAAGTGGCATAAATATCTCAATACTCTTCAATTTTTCAACCTTTCGGTCATTTGGATTCAATCATGTAATTGCGAGGAAAGAATCAGTTGCCCTTCTTATTCTGGTCTAACCGTTTAGTTTTAGATACTTTGCACTACCTAACTGTTTTAAACTCTTTCAGTGTCTTAGATTTAAATATCAAATAGTGCCATTAACACTGATGAAATTAAACTGATGAGTAAATAGATGTTACACTTTGGATAGTTTAAATAAATCGAATAAACTGATATAAATTTAACTGCTTCCGCTGTCCGCTTTAGTGCACGATTTAACAGATTTCTTCCCACTGTTCGTACAGCTGACTTTTTAAGAAAAAAAGGGAATAAAAGGATTTAACGTCTTAAAAAGTTGCACAGCAGTTGTAAATAGTTCCTTTTTGGTTTGCTTTGCATGTTCTAGTGGGAGTTATAGTAGATTGAATAAATGGTACTGCTAAGATTTGTAGGTAATAATAGTAAAATGTTAATTTTTCTAGGGGAGCAAGATGCAAGGGTTCTTACTTTAGCTGAGCAGATCATTGCAGCAATGCCTGACAGAATTAAGGTGATATAAAAGCTGTTACTGTAGACAAATTAATTTAAAAAACAATATTTCAGAACGAAAGTGAAGATATGCTCCTTGATAGTAGCCCAGGGCCACCCGATACTCTTCAGACAAATGACGGTCTTTCAGATGTGTTCATGGAACCACTACTGGACCAGTCCTCCTCTAGTTTTGAATCCACCGAGTTCAATTTTGAGTTTTCCGATAACAATTATAGGTATGCATGTTAATAAAGGTTTTCAATACAACCTGACCATTAAATTATTTACAGGTACTACGATGTGGGCACACCTTGTTCCAGTTTAAGCCCCGCTTCGTCCAGTTGTTTGCAGTCGCCATGTTCTTTCACGTTAGACTCCCCGTCTCCCCCACCCACTACCGCAGATTTCTGTGAGTTTTTGCAAGCGTCCGGCACAGTATTTGAGAAGGATTTCTCCAATTTAACCCTTTCAGGTAGAGGAAACATTATATTTTTTACAATATATCTCATAATAAAGTTAGGGCCAATTTTTTTACCTGATATAAAGTGCATATTGTTCTCCCAACAATTTTAATGATTGTCTATTTAACTTTTTCCTTAGATCGGGAGCAACGGGAATTGTACGAGGCGGCCAAGATAATCCAGAAGGCGTACCGTTCCTACAAGGGAAGACAGCAACAGGAGCAGGACAAAGAGAGGGCGGCCGCTGTGGTTATCCAGAATTATTATCGGCGATACAAGCAGTACGCATACTACAAGCAGATGACTCACGCGGCGATGGTGATCCAGAACGGATTTAGGTCGTACTGTGAACACAAAAGGTTTAAGAAAAGCCAAGAGGCCGCAGTGTGCATTCAGAACTACTACCGTAACTACAAGGAGCAGGGCGGGAGGGGCAGCAGGGAAGGCACCCCTGCGTCGGGGCTCAAGTAAGTCGGTCGAAAGAGCAGTTTGCTAGTCGCTCGGTGTAAGGCTTTCTGTTTGTGGTACCCTAACGTTGATTGGAGCTTAAGTTGTTTAGAAAAAGCAAAAAAAAAACAGTCATATTTATACAGGGTGAACTGTTATTATCTTGACATCATCTATTTGTACTCGACTTTTTTTTGTGTCAAGTACCGGGACACCCTGTATAGTTATTTTTAATGTTGGTTAAAATGAAGCGTCGAAGCTTTTTCTAAACAATTGTTCACAAGTAACTAACCATTCACACATTCATTGTAGTCATTACAATTTGGCTTTGTCGTTTAACAAAAACATTTTTCAGCTAAACTTTCTGTTGGGGGTATGGTACTGTTAATATTAATAACCGTGTGCCCACTAACTGGTATATAACATGTTACCAGTTAAATAGCCGTCTGCTAATCACCCATGGCCCATTAAGAATCTGCTTATCCTTTAACTAATGAAATACCTGTTAACAGTTCATTCATTCAAATAATATTGATCTAACACTATTTATAAATAGTGTTAAATTAATATTTGTATGTATTATATAAAGCTTAAATGTTATTTATGTACATACAGGGTGTAACTTTAAGTGGGGGTTAGTAAAATAATAGTACATGTTGGCCCAAATTACTAATTTGAAACACACAGTTACAATTTGTTTTTTAAACTGGACATAAAAATTTTGTCTACGCCGCCACTGAGCAGCACCTAAACTCGGTTGTATGAGCATGCTTATCAGTGTTGTCTATTCTAACTTTTTTAAATCAACTGTTTGAAAGTAATGGAATAACAGAGCGAAACGAAACTGTATGACTTTGTTACATTTTATTTTAAAATCACTATATTTATGTCAGTACAGTTAAACATTAAAATAATTTTTGAGTTTTTTTTTTAAATAATATTTTTTGCATGATTTATTACGTTTTAATTAGTATTTCTATGTGTGTATAAATTATTAATTGTAAGTGAAACTAATTTGTATTTCAAAATAATGATTATTGCTGTTTTATACAGAGCCTTCATAAATGTTTACAAGCCATGTGACCGCCGAGCTTAGGCAACCCAACAATGCAAACATAGTAAAAATTATTTTTTAAGTGACGAAATCAACGTTTGTGGTGAGAACCTTCTACATATTCGCCTTCTTTTTACATAAGCAGTTCTTAACCTTTTTTTACCACAGACCTCCTATCAATATTTTTTTTGTTGTTGCATACCCCCAGTTACTTTCTTAGATATAAATCACAATTTAAATGGATTTGAAATATTAATTGTAAATTGCACACCAGACGTAAATTTTGGAAAGATAAATAATAAGTTACACTCTGACATAAAAGAGTACATTTCCTTAATTAGTTGTCATTAGTGATTAAATGTTCCTAAAAACTTCACGGACCCCTTAGGAGGAGATGGACGACCCCTAGGGGTCCATGGACCACAAGTTAAGAACTGCTGATCTAATGTCTAATGTCATATAGTATGGTTGAGGTTACATTAGTCTGTCCAATCGACGTTTGTATGTGTTTCTAGAGATCAAAGGTAGTTTCCATATAAATGTCACCCCGTTTCAAAATTACACCCTGTACACAACAATATAATATTCATATTTGACAGCGACAACAAGCAGACTATAACAGAATTGGGGTATTAGCCAATTCTACTTATTGATTAAAAGTAGATACTTAATCATCGGTATCGGTACTTACTATGTATATATTTTTTTATTTTTCACTTACGTTGTGTCCAATAAGGTAAGCACGAATGTGAAATTTTTTGTTTAACTTAATTTTAGCAGTATCCAACATTGCTAGTCGTTTTTCCAAATGATATACACAAAAGTAGCTGTGCCAATAATGAAATTTCTCAATGTTTAAAAAAAGTGAGTATATAAAAATTTCAACAATCTTTGCCTAAACTCACTTTATTTGGATTTTTTAATTGTTAATAAACTCATGACATAAAAATAATGTATCTAAACCATTAAATAACTACAAAAATTTGTTTAGACAAAGACAATCAAAAAATAAGCAAACCATTGGTAAAGTAAAAATGTTTTTTGAAACCAATTAATATTAAATTAAAAAAAAGGAATTAAAATTTCATATATGGTGCATACTTTATTGCTAAAGTTTCGACTTAATAGATCATGTTTGGTATTGTTTTCTCATTTGTGTTCCATTTCCTCTTCCATTTGTTTGAGTCATTTCATTTCCCATACTCGAAATTATCCCCTGTCACACTGCATGGCCAAACATGTTAAAAATGAGAAAGTTTTACACGCAGCGCAGGCCGGCAAACATCTCCCCAGTAACGTGTCTGTGTTGCCTTCTCACCGACCCCGCTCGCTTCGTTGTAGCTGTGTGTTCACTAGTTTTCGATGTACATGCGGCGTATCTACCGCATTCCTCGTATTTCCATTCTGCTAAAAATCAGTTGTTTCCTTTCCAGGCGCACCTATTCCCAGAGACGTCAACATCAGGCCGCCAGGAAGATCCAGCAGTTCATGCGACAGTCCAAAAATAAGTGAGTACATTGCGTTATTTTGCATACGTTATAAGCAGTGGTGGTTGCAGAAAACTAAGTGGTCACGTTTCGATAATGAAGTGTGACACTCATATCATTTTTTAAGTCTAATCCGTGTCTATAAATAAGATTCATATACAAAGGTTTTTAATTAAATTCCTGGTGGAAAAACAAAAACATTTACTCCTAAACAAAATCAAATGATAATGAAACGTTTATATTTGCCCCTGAATAAAAGTTTAAGTAGTAGTCTGTCCACATCAGAATATATTCATTTGGTTTCATTATTTTGAAAAATATATTTCGAAGTGAAGCAGCTATAGGAATTTTTACAGGTTACATATTTTTGAATTTAACTGTAAGAAAAAGAAATACAAGATGTTGGAACATTATTAAAATAGTACTCTATTTTGGAAATTTTTTTTGAGACTTGAAAATAAATGATGCTGCATTTCGAAATTTTTTAGGAATGATACTGAGAATGAGTTTGCACCTTTAATTGAAAAAATTGGTCCACATACGCCCATAAAATAAATTTAAATTTGCCCATGCTTGAGAACAAATATTTCATCGTTGCGCTTTTGAAAGGCATATTTCTAGCAAAACACGTTAAAGTGTAGAATTCGATAAAGTGTAGAATTCTTAAATAAAAAAGGCCAAGAAACAGTATTTTTACTCCATTAAACAATTTGATAAAATACACATGTAACCTGAGGGATTATTTCTTTATTTTTCTATCTATCGTTATGACCAGTATCATACCGATACTGGATTTCAAAAGAGTTTACTATCAACTTCTCGAAAGGGAGTTTATAATTTTTATCATCTACACTTTAATTAATACGTGGGAACTTAGAAATGTTGTATGTTCACTAGAATGAATTCCAGACACATACCGTATGTCGCTCATGTAGAATGTAATCCAGTGGTTGGTGGTATAGGGTGATACTTAAGTTGGAAGAACAAGAAAACACCAAAACATTACAGGAAGGGTTTTAATAACAAAAAAAATACGAACAAAATAACAATGACGCAGCAGATTCGCACAAACATTATTGATTCATTTACACGTGACAACGCAATCCGAGATTCAGGGAACCCAAAGCGAATTCATAGCAAACTTTGGTAGGACTTTATTTGTTATTAAAGTAACCTGAGACTCTAAAATTAAGAAAACTGCTCTGTGTGGAATCCAAGGAGAAACTGCATTTTTTTTGGAAATCTCTCCTGAATTCGACACCTCACTTCGACACGCCCATTTCTTGGGTCCAGAAGTTTCTGTTCTTATCTTATTGGTGGGCTCCCTGAATATCGGGGGTGGAAATGGCTTAACTATGCCATGTTAATACCGAATTGACTGAATTTACAATTATATGGATAATTTTGAGACTAAACTGAACTTACAAGTAACCCTACACCTTCCTCTGGTGACTCCATATAGCAACATGGGACGGATTAGTCAATCTCATTTAATCTATCCTTATAGCTTGAAAAATCCGCCTAAAAACCAGCTATTTGATCTATTATTATTTTCCTCACAACATTCTAACAACTTATTTAAATATCTTGGAATTTCTATGTCTTTTCGAATGTATTTCACGCGTTAATAGATATATCGATTTTTCCTTTCACCAGGGGCCGAACCGACGCAGTTTGTCGAATACCAGATGCCCAACACATGGCCCTATGGCATCTAAGTCTACTTGTTCAAAATCATTGCTAAATTTCATGAGGCCTTTTCCGAAGGACTGTGATGGTCGAGCTTTGCAAATTTATTACTCCCGGTGACAAGAGGCACCAGTTTCTCAACAACTTTATGGCGGCGCTAAACCTACTTGAAGACCCTTAACTTTTCAATAATTATTGTTGACAGGGTTGGCCCATCCGTTCCGAGAACTAACAAATAATCTAACACGAGTCCTGGCTTTTGTTACACACATGTCGCATTTTGAAGGCGCAATGATGATGTACACTTGAGTGAGTGCTTAGGGGCAAATGTTTTTACACAAATGTTTGCAAACTTTTTATACAGTTTTTATAAATCTTTTTGTAAGTTTACTGTAAAATGTATGTAGATCTGAACTAGCTTTGGGGTGTAATACTCACAGACAGTTTTCATAATAAAAAAAAATGCGTTTAACGAAATATGTTTTACATACATTCCAGCATAAAAAATTGGTTCTTTGCACTAAAATTACGTTTCATTGTTAATTTGTTAGAATTTGTAGATCCACTATTTAAGTGACACAATTTTGCCTCTTCAACTTTAAAATGTCTCCTCTCAAATCTGCAAGTGTAATTTGCAATTTTGCTTGGCATTTTCGAAAAGTGTCTGTCAGCTGATCAGAACACTTTCTGTTACGATAGCTAATATACAGTTGATCACGTGTTACTGCTGCAGACCTAAGAGTGGCATATTTTCTGTAAATTTCTACCATATTTTTCAAGTCTCTTGTTTTGGTTTACAGCATTGGAACTTCATCCACATCACCAATGCTCATTTTATGAAATCATCTCTTTTTTGCATACTCCAGAGATGCCAATAATTGCTATAACCTAAAATATCTAGGTACCGTTAATCGCTCCTCTCAAAGGATAATTCCTTGCATCATTAAATATGTATTATTAGGGGTTTCGTTTATCATCTACATCACTATAATTATTATCAAAAATTTTTAACTTGATATTAATTAAAAATTTTAAGAATAACAATAGCGACATCAGCTACAGCAGTTTATTTAGAATACCGTTTCCTTAATACCGATTAGGTATGAATATCTACTAATAAGTGCTTAAAATTTGTGATATCGGATCAGCAATACAGACTCGAATATAACTTGTCAAAGTGACATTTACAAAAAAAACTGATCTAGTTCTATCCATTAAAAATTGGCCATTTCTTACAATAATTTGCATAATTGATGATAAAACATTGAAGATGTAAAAATTTCCTTTTTACGGCGGGGCTCTTGCTTTGCTCGTGTTTTTAAATCAAACTGTTCATAAAAACTGATTATTTACACTGTATATTCAATTACTATTAATTTGACAGTAAAATTACATTTTTCACATTTTATAATGCTGCAACTTTATGGAAATCTGTCAATTGATTAAATAAATTTATTTTGTACATCCGTGATCTCTGTATAAACTGCTCCAGTTATATGTTTGTTTCGCAAATTTTGTTCAAAACTTTGTCATCGTGAACGTCTTCTATGTGAGAACAGGAATCATCCTGTTAAAAACGATATGGGTGTCACATAGTATTATCAAAATATAACCATTTTAATATTGTGCGACTGCCACTGGCTGTAAACGTCTGACGTGTGGCGAGGGTTCTTTAAAGTCCAATGTTTTTTAATGCTAACATAGCGTTTGGGATGAACCAATGACAACTACTACGACTGTGGTAAGTCTGGACAGAAAAAGAAATTAACTGTTCCGTTAAGGTTCACAATGTTTTTTACTGTGTTGTGTTTGTCCTTTATATGCCAAATTGATGATTTTCTTCTCTCTCCTTTTAGACTGCAGAGAGAACGAGCAGAAAGAGAGAAGCAGGGGGGCCAGTCAGCGGATGCCCACCAAAGGTCACAGTGTCAAGGGGCCTCTTCCAGTTACACAGGCCCAAATAGCAGGTGAGACAGTCGTTTTGTGTACAGGGTATGACTGAACAAAATTTAAGATATAGTTTTTCAAGAATGTCTATAAGTGAATTCAGAAAACGAGGACATAGCTGTATCTTCTCGTATGCTGAAGAAAGTTCTGGCGGCTGTAGGTGATGTAAACAGTGACATTTTGTTTTCAGAGAAAAAGGTTCCTTATTAATGGATGGTGTTGGAACAAAAAAACATTAATTTTCTGATAGGATATACTAAAAGCTAGGGAACATCGTAGGGAAATTAAAAAACATTAATAATTGTTAATTTAGTCAACATTCGGAAAAAAGACGAAAAATTTTGCTTTAGATTGTTAATAACAATGGAAATTATTAATCAATCAAAAAACCTCTATGGCATTCCCTGAGTTATGTTATCGTGACAAAATTTCAAGTCGATTCGTTGAAAACTTTTTGAATTATGTTTCAGCCTATTAAAAAAAGTGGTTTCTCGAAAAACACGTTTAAAGTTTTTGTTGTCATTCAGCAGAAGATATTTATTATACAGGGTGAGTCAGTTTTTTGTGGTAGGATTTTAACAGTTGATAGAGATTCATTTTTTAATAAGAAAAGTTCTTATAAACGTAGGTCTTAGAACGCTTCGTTTGTGAGATATAGGGTGTTGAAAACAAACTTTTTTTAAGAATTTTTCTTAATATCTCTAAAAGACCAACATATATTGAACTGAAATTTGGTATTAATAACACATTAGTTATGGTGAATAAAATAAAGATATCTGTTATCCATTTCTAGGGTTGTCAGATGTCCGGTTTTCGACCGGACAGTTCGGTTTTTTTGATGCCTGTCCGGTTGAAAAAAGTTTGGTAAACCGGACAAGCAAATGTTCAGTTTTTTGTTGAATTCATAAAATATCCTGCAATTTGGGAAAAAATGTTTACCTAAAAACGGTAACAGCGGCAACAGCGCGGACAAACGAAAGAAATCGTCTCTCCGTAGAAAGCGTAAAATGTGAGCTTTGCGTTTTCTTTAACATAAATAGCACTTGCACTATGAATTCAAAAATAACATATCAGGTAATAGAGAGTTGTTAAAAGCAGCGGCATCTAATGCAAAATATATTAAAAAATGAAAAAGATTTTAACGTTATTGACATCTTTTTACTTAGGTATAAATATTGTTTTGTTTGTTTGTTTGTTTGTTTGTTTTTCATTGTGGAATAAAAGAATTATTTATTTAATTAGTTTTTTTTGGAATGCTGTCCGGCTTTTTTTTTCAAGCACATCTGGCAACCCTATCCATTTCACCCACCAGTGACATGCTTGAGGTGGGTTACTGCCCCCTTTAAAAAAATAATTCATACGCCCTTGAATTTTTCTGGAAAATAACATCATTTCTAAATTTTTTAATCAATTCTGAACAAAACATCTCTCAATTTTTTATAAAATTAACGTTCTTGGTTAAATTCATTTGGCATGAAACTGTTTCAACGATATTATTATATTATTATAAAAAAATGAAAATCCACTACGTTTTACTCTATCGCCGCTACACCGTTCTTGAAGGTAAATCCCGCTACTCGTAGCGGAATTCCGCTACAATTGGTAACAGTGACATAATTGTAACAACAAACAAAAATAAAAATATAAATTCTCAATTTTAAATGAATTTGAATTAAAATTTTCTCTATTATCTGCCCGAGTTCTAAATGAAAAAAAAAATTGTGGTTAAGTGTGCTTTAACCATGTGTATTGTATTCCAACCTTGTCTAGGGGAGTGCTAAACTTCTCTCCTTTCATACAACACGTTCATATATTGTTGATTGTGATGTATATATACTTAACTTACTTTCACATGTATGGGTGAGATATTACCTTTATTCAGTTCATATGAATACAATTTTTAAGTTTTCATAATAATTATAAATGAGTATACTTCAAACAGTTTAAACGTAGTAGAACCTGATAATATAAATTCCTGTATTGTGTCAGGAATATTTAATACGAATGAATTGGACAATCGGAGAATAGATGACTCTTTGGCGGGAAATTCAAAACCTAAATAAATATTTTCCTTTGCTGATATTGGGGTAAAGGCTTATTCATATTAAATTTTTTTTGTTACTGTTACTTGATTTTTGAAACGTTAATTAACTTGAGATTAACTCTCAATTTATTTTCTTGTATTTCAATCGAAAAGGGACAATTTTTTCTAAACTTCAAAATTGTCAACCAAAAATCGGGAATAGGAATTCATGTTTAATTTCATAATTCGCCAATTTCTTCATTTTCATATGAAAAGTGTCAAGTAAGCTAACCAGATATTGAGAAATTGGTGCAAAGGCATCAATAACTAGTAAGGGGTACTATACAATCAGAGTAATGAACAGGAAATTCCATTAATTATCCAAAATAGTATAAAATTCCTTTTCAATGACTGGAATCATCTCCAGCAGAAAATTTAAACAACTTTTTGAGCTTGCAATTAGTTAAAAAACTTCGAAACGTAGTTTTATATTCTCTGTTTAAAACATTTTTTTTTAATTCACCAAAAAAGTCTGCTACCAAAATTTAAAAAATATATACCAGTCTGGCCAGGTAATTCATTCGCATATACTAAATAAATTACACGCATCTCCCCTATCAACTTCGGGTGGAAGGGGTCGGACATGACATATATCATCGAGGCTGCGACTCGGACTCTCGTAATTGGTTGGCTTTGGGAGCGCACGTGCCCTGTTGCATTTTTTGTGAACTAACCGAATAACTAAAGCGCTTTGCTGTTTGTTTATTTTTATTATTGTTCCAATCAAACCTTTGGTAAGAAGTAGACAGAATATTACAAAATAAATTTCCGAAGAACTTGACATTCCAAGTCGTACAGTTCGTCGCATCTTAAAAATGAATGGTTACAAAGCAAATGCAAACATCTCAAGAAATTATTCCTGGTGATCAAATAAGGCGGTATGGAGTTTTGTGAATCCATTAGGGAAAAAATAGATGAAAATAATGAATTTGTTGAATGCTGAGAGATATTTTCATTTATTACAAAATAGTGTTGTATCACTTGTATGAAAATTTTGAGGAAATTTGGTTACAGCAAGACAGATATCCTGCACACAACGCAAGGCCAATTCAAGATTATTTGGAACAAATTGTTCCTGAAAGAATTATTTCCACAAGAGGTATCATACCTTGGCCTCCTCGATCTCCAGATCTGACACCCTGCGACTTCTCGGTACATTTACAGAAGGGGTCATTTAACGCAACTTCTGTACAAACATGGACACCAATGAGCCGCAAATTTGGACAAATTACGGCTTAAAATTAGAAATATTTTAGAATCAGTTACTCCTGAAATTTTGTTAAATGTTCGTCAAGATTTTTACGACAGATTAAGGTATTGTGAAGCTCAAGCAATTGGTTTGTTTGAACACCTTATTAATTAATAAGCATTTGAAAATAATTAATTGAATTACCACTCATTTTATTTTAGAACACCGTTTTAGTTTTTACTAAAGGTTATAAATAATTTGTAATAAAGTTGGAATGCTTTAGTATGGTCTCAAACCCATCTTATCATTCTTGTAAAAAAATTTTGTACAAATATCTACTACTCTTTATACCTTCGCAATAAATCAAAAACGTAATTATTGTTCAGTATTCTATCTTCCATATGTACGTATCTTAGACGTACGTTGTTCCCAAATTCCTAATGCAAGACAGATACAATAAACCAATAGTCAAGGAGAGCTTAGAGCCGCCGACTTTGCGCACTTATGGCGTTTTTTTATTCCCTTATATCGATGGCATAAGTTATACAAATGATATGGGGGCGAAGTCAGAATTATTAGGGGAGACTGGTGAAATATTTATATAATTTACTGACTTTGTATCGGTAATAAAAATATGACCAGACCTGTATATAAAGTGACGTGCCCTTTATACATTTTTTTTGTTTTTCAGATCCAATAATATAGACTACTCCGAAGACTCAAAAAACGGCAACGATAAGAAGTGAGGCAGCGTAGAAGTACTTATTACTTAAAGAACATTTTAGCAGGTATACTTTGATTTCGTAGAGTAAAACGCTACTACTAGTTACCAGTACTATATTTACATTTATTGATAATTCTGGTATATTCTTGTATCTTTGCAATGTCTATTTTGGTAATTTTCATGCATTTAAATACGAATGCAAGGATCGACAACAAAAGTGAGATGATTTTAGACGTTGTATGAACTTTTTATTATTATTATTCTGATTGTACGGATTCAGAGCTGTGATTGTAGTTAGGAAAACACTTTTTCAAGCAAAACAATCACGAAGAGATTTATGTTTATTTACATTTTCCAAAACCATACAGACTTGTCGATAAATTTTTCGTTTCAGTGCAATAAAATGTCGTTACCCAACGTTGAAGTAGATTTGATCGAATCAAATACGTTTATTGTTGACACACATGTATAAATCCCAATTTATTCAATAGAAACTGCTGCTTTCAGTTTTCGTCATCCGTAGTACAATTTTATGAAAAAGTGTTTTGCCGATTAATAGTATAAAGTTCTAGTCTTAGTATATATACTTACATAGTAATAAACTTATACCTATACCACATCCAGGTCAGATATACAGGTTATATCAGATTAAGTGGTCCCGCGGAATTTTTTAGAATCGGAGCTACGAATTCAGTCAAATCATCAATGAAATATTTGTACAGTCGTTGAAAAAATACATCTTAAAAAAATGAAACTAATTCAACGTTTCCATTTAACTGATCTAGCTTTGATAACAAAAGTAATGGGCAGTGACAAACATTTCGTACGGTACAGCCTGTGTACCTTTGCTTGATTTGGATTATTGTAAAAAGAGTTACTGTCTTTGAATTTTATATATACTTTCCGTTGTGTTTTTCGACTATTTTCACTGCCACTGTAGCGTAGTCGTTATGAAATTAGTTTGCAGAGATAACATGTAGAGAATATCATGTATCTTCTATACTAAAGCAATATAAAAGGAATAGCATCTCCGATTTTACGTTTCAAAGCAACATCTTCCACAATAGCGCCATATGAAATTATCTCTTTCAAACCTTATTGAACTCTCAATATTAAGTGGTTCGCCAGTTTTTATCTTCAGAAGAAAGCCTTACAATTGTAAATCAAAATTTCTGAAAATTCTTATAAATTGTTTGTGAATATATGAATGGTAGACCGTCCTGGCCCAGGTATTGGACCTCGAGGTATGACCAAAGGGAAATGGCTGTTGTGGGGGGTTTTGCGACGTTTTGTAGAGCTTAACTTTCAAGATACCTTTGGTGAAGTTCGCTCATACATATCATTCTAGCGTAATACGTAAATATATAGTAAACTATTATTCTTAAAACATATTTACCTGCTGTACAATGATTGGGGAACCCTGGAGAGTGTACATACTTAGTTTGTGTGTTGTGAACAAAGGATAAGGAATTCGTTGGTGCTCAATATAAAGTGTATCTGTATGCACAAATTTAACAGTTTGCGTTTCTAGTTTTTTGTCAATTATCGAGGGGGAAGTTTGATTTTTTTAAAAGTAAATTTATCGAGTACCTGCTGGCAGGTTTATTTCTTACAAAAAAGTAATAAGTTATACATGAGAAAGTCCCTCCTTTGTATATAGCTGTTGTTTGTTTTTTGAAATTTTATTCTTTGAAACTAAAAAAAATATAATATTTCTTCTAAGTATTATGTAAATTTAATGTTGATATTTATACATATAAGTAAAACATAAAGGGGCTTACGATTTTTAATCTCAACTAACTGCATCTATAGACAATTATATAAGGTAGTTTTGCAGTTCAAAATCTAGTTAGGTGATTTTAGAAAATATATCAGATTTTCAAAATATTTTTAAATCAAATATCTTGTCCAGTGTGAGAGGTCGATTCGAATAGGCGACATACTTGGTTATATCACACACAGTATCGTTTGACGGGCGACTCTACTCCGTACAATAAAGTAAAACTTGAACTTACTGCAACCCCTCGTCCTTTATAAAGAGAAATTTGATAATGTAAAAAAGACAATAAAACGACAAAATTTAAAATTGTGATATTAAAATTATATCTAAATAAATTGGTGCTATATTGTTAAATATAATTTTAATCTGGAGATATAATTAATCTAATAAATCACTTAAGTTTCATCAAATAACAATAAATAAGAGGATAAATGAAATGAAAATGTTTTATTTGAAATTAAACATCTAAATATACAGGCTGTTACAAAACGGTAAGAAATACGAATTAGCTTAAATGGGGGTAAAGTTGCATAATCAGGGGACCAACATTATGCCTCTAAAAAATCAAGGCTAACATGATTAGTTTTGGAAATATTTGAAAAAAAAACGAAATTTTGGAAATCCGTTTTTGTTTCATTTCAGCCTTCTTTGAGATGATATTGAAAAAAGAAGATCACTTTCTCATGGCCACTTTTTGCCCTCTATCGAATGGCATAACCAATTTTTATATGTAACGTTTCGTGTTTCCAGGACCATCATCAACTTCATTTCCTAAATTTCGTTTTTTTTTTCAAATATTTCGAAAACCAATCATGTTAGCTTTGATTTTTTAGAGGCATAATGTTGGTCCCCTGATTACGCAACATTGCCCCCATTTAAGCTAATTCGTATCTCTTACCGTTTCCAAGATCCCTGTAGTGAGAAGCGAATTTGTAACAGCCTGTATATGCAGTGCTGGATTAGGGGGAAAATTCAACAGTATGTGAAAAACAGTGAATGTAGAACTATTGTCATATTCAATCTATACAGGGTGTTACAAAAAAGGAGATCAAATCGTTGTTCATGACAGTTGGTTTGGAAAAAAATAATTTTCTTATGCAGTTTTTGATTTAAGTTTCAAAACTGAAAAAATTATGATTATTATTAAAAATTCCATTGTTTTTAAAGTTGAAATTTTGCACAGACTTGTGCCGGAACAGTTTTTATATAATTTTGATTAAAAAAATTAAATGCAGACATTGCAAACGACTTAAAAATCATTGGAGTAACTTTTTTTTTGTAACGTTAACACCTGTATTTTCAAAAAAAGGTGCATAAATAAAAATGGCATAAGAAAAGTCGCATTATTTTCTTAAAAAATCCGTTGTTCACAGCTTGATCTTTTTTTTTTGTATCACAGTATATTTAGTTCTAGGCCTGGTACTTTGAGTCTCAGTTAAGGTTTGATTAACTAATCAAGTGATCCTACTTTATAAAATAAATCTGATCAGTTAATCATGTTTAACTGATACTCAAAGTACCGGGCTTAAGACAGGGATATTTTTTTAGAAATAACTGACAACTAAGACCAGCTCTGTATAAAATTGACATTAAAAATGTTCATATTAAAGCAATAATATAAAACATATTGACAGGACTTTTTTGCATCTTTTTTTATGATTTTAAATACGCTAAATTTATATAATTTTTGAGGTTTTGCTTTACTGTATTAAGTATGAAGCATTGCATAGAACAGAACATGGCTTGGATCGTATTTTTTCCAATTTGGATTCATTTTTTGTATGGTGGTTAAAAAATAGTTTGCAATAAGCGGAAAAAATGACATTGAGTGTTGATCAAACGTACAATTGTCTTTATATAGTAATTAATAAATATTTTTTACTTTTGTAATATTTGCAAAATATATTTATTTCAATTTAGTAAACATATTGTTTCCATTTGATGCGAATTAATTGGCAGTGACTGTTCTGTTTTATGTGATGGTTTAGAGTCGTCTCTCAGAAAATTAATACCCGAAAGATTATTAGGCTTATAATAAGCGACTTTCAACTTTCCAACATACTCACATGATACAATCAAAAATCAACAATCCTTAGTAGTTAAACTCGCACCTAACGTTAAATAGCTGTATGACTGGGAAATATTTAATATTGAAAGTCTGAAAAAAAAAATTGTAAATACTAAAAAGGGCGGTAGTTTTATGGGGAAACTTTAAATTTTCTAACGGGAATTTAAAGGGGAATACAACAACACCAAAATATATCGAAAAATATGTAAATTTGTATTTTAACAAAACAAAAATCGATATCTATAGGGAAAGTTTTATTGAACAACTATATATTCAAATTAAATTTTATATCTATGAGACATTACATTACCTAAAAGTGTATTTAAATATACTGTAGCGAAAGTTTATTTTAATGAATACTTAAATTAATTTTCCGATTATTCGATATTTAAGCTTTAAAAACAAACCTATATAAATACAGTTAAAAGAAGTAGTATTTATAAGGTAGATAATTTTTGACTATTATTATTAATAGGGAGGAAAGTACTGATTATTTTTCAGAGAAAGATATATGATCCATGTAAAAAGAAATCAATAAAATAATCGGTACTTATTTAGTTCGTAGCTGCACAGTACCTATATCTATATTATATTTACTTGTTCATAATTATTCATTAGGGGTTCAAATTATTGTTATATACACACTTCGAACACATGTATGCTACGTACATGATCACTGTATTTTTCACAATGGTTGCTGCACTCGAGACACATAGACAGTCCCTTGTTTCTGTTGTTTATATTCGGCACTTACATAAATCGCATTATTTTGGACCTAACGTTAGACCATGAAGAATCTGATCTAACTCGAAGATGTGTTATAATTTTATTTTTTGAAAGAATTAATAATTTTTCGAAGGAATACGTAAAAAAATTGTATGGAAGAGAAAGTAAAAAATTTCAAAAGTATTATTTAACATTCTGTTATGAAGTTTTGCTAAATTCTTAACGGTGCGGTATTTTTTTTAATCATCACTATTTACTGGAAGGAGGTTAGGTACTTAATAATTGTGTTTTTTATGTAACTGCTCTATTTGTTGTTTCCTATTTGTACTTAACTAGTTTTAAGAAAGTTATTACTTTATTTTGTTGATGATGGACAGTCCTTTATTAGCTGTACTTACATATTTTAACTGAATGGTTTTGTCCATTATAAACAAGCTCTATTGGCTCTTGTCATTCCAATTAAAAATAAAGTTGTTCAAATTAAATATTTTGATACTATCTATGTATTTTATAATATACTTATTATTTCGAGTTTAGTGTTAATTGTTAGATGATTTACTATTACTTTTTTCAATTGTTTACTAGAGTGCAGATGTTAACTATTGGTACATATTATTGTAACTAATAAACACTTTCTGACTTAAAGTGATATCTTTTTATCGATTACCTGGCCTGGAATATAACCTACCCAATACAGGACAAATTTTTTCAAGAACTTATAACACAGGGTACATGCCGTAACTAGAAGGAATTTTACTACAGGCAGGCTTTTAATTTTGCGCCTGTAC